GTATATTTCCGTCAGCAACAAGCTACACGTATTGCACAAGGGCCACCACTGGAAACCAAGCTCACTGCATGGTTCAAATGGAACCTTGAACATATAAACTTCCCTAATGAAATCAAACCTCTCTATAAAGATATGATTCAACGCTTTTGATTTGACAAGACAAAAAAAAAATGGATATTAGCAAACACGATTGGTCGAATGCATACAATCCACCCCAATGCACATGATACCTTTTATCTCAGAATGCTCCTTCAATCACCACATTCTCGTGGCGCAACATCATTTGTGCACCTTCGAACTGTTGGCAACAAGGTTCACTCACCATGTCGTGCACTTGGCCTCCTGAACGATAACACTCAATTTGATGTTGTATTGCGTGATGCTATTTTCATAGCTCCTCCATCAATGGTCCGTGACCTCTATATCCATATTGTCCTACATTGTCCACCCGATGATCTTAACGAATTGCTTGAAACGCACTGGGAACAAATGGCTAATGATTTCCATAGAAATCTCCGTGTTGTAAACGGGTTCCCCCTAGGACCGTAAAAACTATGTTTCTTATCGACATAGAAAACCGTCTTCAAAAAGAGGGTAAGCAACTTCAAAACGATGGTCTAACTCCGTCTTTTACCGCTGAACGAAAAAAAGCCAATAATCTCGTTGAACGACCTCATGAATGAGATGTTTCTCAAATCATTCACGACGAAATTTCCTTCGACAAAGAAACTCTTCAAAACACATTAGCTACAAATATGTCGCTGCTTCGACCCTCACAACACGCCATCTTCCAACATGTCGTTGTCGCGACCGAAAATAACGAACCGCTTTGTCTTTTCATTGACGCGTCGGCAGGCACAGGCAATACTTTCTGCTTAAACACAATCCTTGCGCACATTCGAAATCAGGATCGCATCGCATTAGTTGTTGCTTCAAGCGTATTGCAGCCACTCTCTTACATGGCGGTCGCACATTCCACTCACGATTCAAAGGCCCTCTCACTCCGGCCACAACATCAACACTAGATATTCTAAAACAATCAGCACTTGCTGAACTCATTCGAATGACTGTTGTCATTCTTTGGGATGAAGCACCGATGATACATAATTTTCATATTGAAGCGCTTGACCTCACGCTGCAAGACATCTGCTCCACGAATTTGCCCTTCGGCGGCAAAATTATTGTGCTTGGGGGTGACTTCCGTCAAATTCTTCCTATAATCACGAAAGGAACACGTACATAAACAGTTGATGTCTGCATCAAATCATCCGTGTTATGGCGATACTTTGACACCATTCATCTCTCTGAAAATATGCATGTACTTACTCAGATCAACACCCCCGAAGGTCGCCAATACGCTCGATGGTTACTTGCGCTTGGAGATGGTGAATTACCCTCCCTCCCCCAAATGCAGACGTCCCTACAATTGACCTCCCTCCTCATCTTTGCCTACATGAAGGAACTCAACAACTTATTAGTTGGACATTCCCGCAACTTCAAACAACTCCCAAAACCCGCAATGGCTTGTCGAACGCTTAATCTTATCCCCCAAAAACAAAATGGCCTCCTCACTTAATTCCACTATACTCGACCAATTTCCGGGACCTTTTATAATATGCCTCAGCTCCGACTCACTCCTCCCCATTGGGACGTACCTATCGACGCGCTCAATTTGATTGACATCCCATCACTGCCTCCTCATGTCCTTCGTATTAAAAAAGATGCACCCATTATGCTCTTGCTAAACATTGCAATGAGAAATGGATCATGTAATGGAACACGACTCATTGTCGACTCCATTACTAACAACAGACTTTTGCACGCATGAATTCTTCCATTCCTCCAACCGATCCTTCTCTCGCGCTTCCTCATATTTACCGACCAAACGAGCCAATTTCCTTGGCAAAGGCGTCAATTCCCTATCCGCCCTGCGTTTGCAATTACTATAAACAAATCTCAAGGACAATCCATTAAACACACAGGCATAGATCTCCAACAACAGTGCTTCGCACATGGACAACTCTATGTCGCTGCATCGAGAGTTGGTGATCCCGCCCATCTGTTTCACACTTCATGCAACAGATAACCAAACAACAAATATTGTATACAAAGAAATTTTATCATAAACTTTGTACCCGCTCCCTTGCATAACTTCTAACTGCCCTCCCGCTTTCTTTTTTTTTCTGCAGATTCGCCAGAACATGCACCAACTGAAAAAAAGTTGAAGACCTCGCCGTCGGATACAACTGCAGAAGTGCAAGTTTCGACTGCTGCAACAACCAATGCTTCGGCTTCTATCGCTGCATCTGCTTCTCTCACGATATCTACATCATCCTCGATTTCACTTCCCCTGTCTACGTCACCTGTTACAACCTCTGATCTCTCACGCTTCAGACTCAATGACATTACGCTTAGCCAAATCCCTCTCCCATCCTCGTGCCCTGCCTCATCACAAATGACTACTTCCACCACCCAAACCTCCCAACACACTAGATGGGATTCCTGGCTGACTCTCATTAACAGAGACAATACTGAACACATAATTGAACAGATTCTCTGGGAGGATTTCCTCGTGACTGACCACGCAACATTCTCAACTCACATATACCATTTACAAAGATAACCGCACCCATTCTCTTCGACGTCCGGATCCCTCGCCCAACCCCAACATCCATTACGCACGAACAAAAACTTTCTTGCTGAAAATCACCAATGACGATTACAGTCGAACACCTTCCCCCCGTACACCGCGACCTCAATACCAATATGAACGCATCACCACTGCCCACCACAGACATTCCTTCATTCGCTCTGCACCGCCAACCCAACAGCCATCCCTCCATCCTCACAATGTGTATGAACCCAACCCGCTCTGGTGGCTTCCGCTTCAACCTTGGGGCGCCACATGTGCAACTGCTCTCATTCATGACATCCTTGCCTCCCATCACACGCTGGCCAGCTACAATATTACACACCCGCCGCGTACGTGGGATTATCTCAACGACCTCATTCTTCTTCATCACCGAGATATGCAACAACCACTCCCACCCTTCCCTGCCTCTAGAGCCGACATTGTCGACCGTGCCGTTGCATACCTCCGCACCCAGAATCCCTCGCCGCGATGCTGAGCCTTCTACAACACTGTCAGAGTGATAACCTTTCGGGTCGCAGACCAGCCAAACACAACTACGAACAAGTGTCGCCAACATCCACGAACAACAACCTGGAAAACAGACGCCGACCTGCAATGTGGATACTACGAACAGACTGCCTCGTCCTGTGTCGCGACGGGTCCACTTGTTTTTTTAACAGCTACTAGCGTCCTTACCCGAATAGAACGCCCAATCGTTATCACTGCGTCTAGACTGAAAGTCGCCCGAATTCAGCTATCGTGACCAAGCATTATATTCAGGTGAAGAGGGTAGAAGGCAGCGGGGAGATTGATGGCCAACATGTACTGGCACGGGAAGACCTTCTAACAGCTCCAAAAATAGAAACTATGGACTTCGTATGGAGTGTAGTATGTGTGCGCTCCGACCTTTCTCGTAAGCAATAATGGACACATACCACACTCCATACTACACTCCATACGGAGTCCACAGTTCTCGAGGGCCACTAGATATCCAGTGGGATTGGGTGTCCATTACTGCCTTGGAACTATTGGTAGTAATGTTTTGGTACCATCAGTTTCTTTTGGAAGGCCCGATGGTATCCATTGTTCAAAGGCAGTAATAGACACCCAACCCCCCTGGATATCTAGTGCCATGTCAATTTTTCCTCTTCTTTTGGGGGATTGTGAAGAGGGGCGGGGGGGGGGGGGGGGGGGGGGGGGGG